CCTAGAATCCCCCAGTGAGGTGCTGGGGTGTGGCTCAGTGGTAGAGCCCTTGCCTAGAATCCCCCAGTGAGGGGCTGGGGTGTGGCTCAGTGGTAGAACACCTGCCTAGAATTCCCCAGTGAGGGGCTGGGGTGTGGCTCAGTGGTAGAGCCCCTGCCTAGAATCCCCCAGTGAGGGGCTGGGGTGTGGCCCAGTGGTAGAGCCCCTGCCTAGAATCCCCCAGTGAGGGGCTGGGGTGTGGCTCAGAGGCGGAGCCCCTGCCTAGAATCCCCCAGTGAGAGGCTGGGGGCGTGGCTCAGAGGTAGAGTGCCTTTGGAGAATCTGCCAGGGAAGGGACTCACGGTGTTTTTCCCAAATGAGTGAAAAAGTTGGGTTCTATCCTTAGTACTGTGAAAAGGTAATTGGGGGACTGGGGAGATGGCTCAGTGGATAAGTGTGCTCACTGCTCTTCTAGAGGGACCCACATCCAACTGCCTGGAAATCCAATTCCAGAGGATCTGGTACCCTCTTCTGTCTCTGTAGGTAGCACACGCACACACACGCACACACACACATACTCACTCACTCACACAGTCATTAGGTAGATGTGGATGGCATTAGAAGTCTATAGCAGCAGATAGGGGAGGCGTGGGAGAGGTTTGTAAAAGGTCGTGAATGTCCTAGCAGGGAATGAGGACTCGGGAATCACAGAAGGGGCCTAGCTTCAGGTTACACATTAGGTTATGGAGCTAACGGTTAACCAAGTGGCGGCGGCACACACCTATAATCCGGGCTCTGGGGAAGCAGAAGCAGGCGGATCTCCGTGAGTTTGAGGCTATCCTGGTCTACAAAGTGAGTTCCAGGACAGCCACGGTGGGTACACAAAGAAACTCTGTCTCAAGAAACTTTTAAAAAAGAAAAAAAAGGTTAGACAAGGTCTTCAAGGGCTTGGAGACAGCCCAGACTGACGGACGGGCCTTAGCTCCATGTGGTTGCTGAAGCCATGGTGGTGGTCTCGGAAGGAAGCAGGAGGGACCTCTTCAGGAGGGGTCGTCTCCTGCCTCTGCTCCACCCTTAGTGACGCCTAAGGACATTTGTGGATGTGCTGGGGGCTGAGTGGCAGTTAGAGGCCCAAGGATTTGTGTGGTTAGTAGAGCTGGGCATATGGCACCTGACTGTCATTCTGAGGCTGAAGCAAGAAAATCAGGAGGTGACGGCCAGCTTGGGCTACACAGGGGAAGTCCAGAGCAGACCACATATCTGACCCCTCTCTCTCTGTGTCTCTCTCTGTGTCTCTCTGTCTCTCTCTCTCTGTCTCTCTCTCTGTCTCAGAGCCTCCTCTGCTGGAGGAGAAGCCCCCACCCACCCCACCTCCTGCCCCAACGCCGCAGCCTGCCCCACCTCCACCCCCACCCCCAGTTCCAGCCTTGCCCTCACCTACTCCACTGGTGACCCCTGTGGCTAGCTCACCTCCTCCACCACAGCCGCCACCTCCGCCAGCATTGCCCTCGCCACCTCCGCCACCCCCGCCACCCCCGCCAGCAACCCCGGCTGCCCCACCAGCTGCCGCTCCAGAGGAGCCTGCTGCTCCGTCCCCAGAGGAGCCTGAACCTCCGGACGCCCGGCCTCTGCACCTGGCCAAGAAGCAGGAGACCGCAGCTGTGTGTGGGGAGACAGACGAGGAAGCCGGAGAGAGCGGTGGTGAGGGCATCTTCCGGGAGCGGGACGAGTTTGTCATCCGTGCAGAGGACATCCCCTCCCTCAAGGTGAGTCTCAGCATTGTTCACAAATGGAGCCTGACCAAGTGTCACTGATCGAGCAGCTGATGAGTGACAGGGCCACTCACTGTATGTAGGTCAGGCTGGCTCCCGATAGGAACCTTCCTGGAGACGGGGTCTCACTGTGAGCTGTGCCTGGGCGGCCAGCCTGTGTGGGAGTGCAGGCAGAGTGTTACCGAGGTGGGCTTGCTGTGATCTGACGTGGCTGGTAGAGGTGGTGGGGGAGGACACTGGCTTTCATTCACTCTGTCCCTCTTCCGTGATGAGCCTTTGGGGTGGATACAGATGGACTATTTCAGGCTGCGTGTTCTTCAGTCACTTCTGAGTCTCTGCATCACCTTCTGCCCACTGCAGAAGGAAGGGTCTCCGACCAGACTGGGTGTCCGTACATATCTAGAAGGCTGTGTGACATTGCGTCCGTTTAGCAGAATGACAGGTGTCTGCCTCCCCATCCCCCAGGGCCTTATGACTTCTCGAGCGGTGGGCTCTGGACCAGATTCGTAGGGCCAGACACTAATACGCTCTTGTGGACCAGGCATCAGATCAGTCAGAGCAGTTGGTTGCCCCTCTATCCTTCATGCCACTAATGCAGCAGTGAGCACATCTTGCCTGGCAGGTCCGTATTGTGGAATTTAGGATTCAAAATTCATCACTTGGTAATTCTATTTCTTAGGGATTTCCTACCAGAAGGGATCCAACCAGAGTATATTCTTTTCCATTTACATATTTGATGTCAACCTAATGCAGGTCTGTGTAACTTGCAGGTGGGGTAACAGCTGTTTGCTTTGGGATGCTCGCTGTCAGGCTGAGTTTAATTTTTTTTTTTTTTTTTTTTTTGAGACAGGGCTTCTCTGTCCAGCCCTGGCTATCTGGAACTTACTCTGTAGACCAGACTGGCCTCGAACTCAGAGATCCACCTGCCTCTCCCTCCAAGTGCTGGGCTTAAAGGCCTGCGCCACCAGTGCCTGGCTGAGTTCTAAATTCTTAGTGTAGATCTGGTCCTGCTGGTATCAGCCTGCCATCCCAGGTTCTGTGGGGGTTGTGACAAGAGGACCCTAAGTCCAGGACCTTTCTGTGCTACAGAATAGAGGGAAGGCCAGCCTAGAAAATATAGTGAAGAAGTTAATACAAAAAAGGCTGGGAATACAGCTCAGTGACAGTACACCTGGCTCCTGATAGGAGCCTTCCTGGAGACGGGGTCTCACTGTGAGCTCTGCCTGGGCTGTATCTCACTGTAGGTCAGCCTGGGACGGGGTCTCACTGTGAGATCAGCCTGGGCTGTATCTCACTGTAGGTCAGGCTGGCTCCTGATAGGAGCCTTCCCGGAGACGGGGTCTCATTGTGAGCTCTGCCTGGGCTGTATCTCACTGTAGGTCAGGCTGGCTCCTGATAGGAACCTTCCTGGAGACGGGGTCTCACTGTGAGATCAGCCTGGGCTGTATCTTACTGTAGGTCAGGCTGGGACGGGTTCTCACTGTGAGATCAGCCTGGGCTGTATCTCACTGTAGGTCAGGCTGGCTCCTGATAGGAGCCTTCCCGGAGACGGGGTCTCACTGTGAGCTCTGCCTGTCCCATCCTCATGACTACAGTACTGCAGATATATACCACCATGCTTGGCCATAGTCCAGTTTTGTATTTTGTTTGTCTTTCTTTGTGACAAGGTCTCTACAGAGCCCTAGCTATCCTGGAACTCATTATTATGTAGACCAGGCTGGCCTCAAACTCGCAGAGACCTGCCTCTGCATGCGCTACCACTCCCGGCTTCCAGTTTTGTAAATAAAGATTTATCAGCAACATGAAATCTGTGGGTGTGTCACATGGTCTGGCAGAGTGAACTGGAAACAGCCAATAGTATTAACCAACTTCCTGCTCCCAAAAGAATTAGGTGTACTCTAAGAGGTTTGGTTCACAGGCATATCTGGCTGAATCAGGGGTACCCTGAAAGCATGGTCCAGCAATAGGATGCTTGCCTAGAATCCCCCAGGGAGAAGCTGAGGGTGTGACTCAGTGGTCAGTGTTGGTCAGGAATCTCTTTGGTTCTGGGCTTGGTAGGGTATGTCAGCTGCTCCCATGAAGCAGAGCTGATGCTCAGCTGGCTGCCATCTCTCTGTCATCAGCACAGGAAGGCTGTTCTGCATGTCTTTGGTGGGATTATGCATTGCCATTGTGCACATTGTATTGCATTGAATCTCAGCTGGCTCTTTCTCCAGTTCACATGGATATTGGGTTGAATTCATGACAAGGACAGAAACTTACTAAGAATTTTTTGTGAGGTGGACCTAACAATTTCAGTTTTTTGTTTCATTTATTTTGAGTACTGGGAATTGGGGCTGGAGCGATGGTTGATTGGATAAGGGCAAGGTCTCCCTAATTTACGCAGGCTGGCCTGGGCCTCACTTGTGGGTGATCTGGCCAGGTTGCACTTTCCATAGTCCTTGTGCTGTGTCTTTTCCCTGGTGAACAGGGCTCCAGGCAGTGCCTTCACTAGCCCCATCTGACAGACCAGGCAAGCCAGTGGGCCTTGGGAAGGGACCCATTCCCTGGCCAGGGCTGGGACAGGAGCCAGGGCCATCCATCTGATACTGCCCAGCTGGTGTGGGATAGGGAAGGGGCCAGGCGAGGACTCAGATGCTTAAAATACTACTCAAGTGTGCGCAGTGGCGGGCCCAGCCCCGAGGCCATGCCTCTTGCTGGGGTCAGGGACTCCTGGAGGTGAGCAGGTCAGGCTTCTTCCGAACCGGGTTTGCTGGACTCCACTGTACCTCCCCTGCTGAGGAGGTGGGCTGCCATCTTGTCGTCCTAAGCCTCAGTGTTCTCAGTCACAGCTGGTGACATGAGCTTCTCCCAGGGGTATGTTGATAATGCTTACGTGACCTGGCCTATCCTGATCTCTACAGCCCCCACACAGAAGGTGCTGGAAACATTGGATCTGTTGCTGTGATATTGGGCTGGCTTTTACTACAAGGCTTGGTAAATACTCAGTAAAATACAGAGTGTATGTCAGGCTTTGCCATGATTTGCTTTTCTGGCATTTTTTTTTTTTTTTAAATCTCTGGTGGTCCGAGCAGTGTTGTTTTGAGGCTGAGGCAGGAAGGTCCTCAGGTGAGTCCATGACTCTCAGACCAGCCTTGGAAAGCAGCAGACGTGTGAAGCTGATATCCCAGAGCTTGGAAAGTGGAGCCAGTAAGGTCAGAAGTAGAGGTCATCCTCATCTGTGTAACAGATTTGAGGCCAACCTGGGCTACACGAGATTATGTCTCAAATGAAACAAGAGCTAGGGGAATGGCTCAGTTGGTAAGTCCCTTGTAAGCATGGGGACCTTGCTGAGCTCCGTCCCACAAACTCGCTGGTGGTGTCGACTTGTAGTTCTAAGTCTGCTTAGGAGGCAGAGACAGGTGGATCTCTGGGGCCTTGCTTGCCAGGCAGTTGAGGACCTGAGTTTGACCCCCTAGGACTCACAAGGTGGAAGGAGAAAACAGAATCCATGAGTTGTCTTCCAACCTCCACAGCTGAACCATGGTGCATGCCTGTATATGCACAAACGGATTTATATTTATTAATTAATAGTAAGAATTAGGTCCTGTGAAATGGTTCATTAAGTAAAGGCACCTGTCCCAAAATCTGATGACTTGAGTTCCATTTCCGGGACCTTCACTGAGGATTCTAGGCAGGGGCTCTACCACAGAGCCACACCCCAGCCCCTCACTGGGGGATTCTAGGCAGGGACTTTACCACTGAGGGACGTATGTCCCTCAGTATGAGTTCATTTCCACAAGTATAGAAGATTCAGGTGAGCCAGGGGATGATGGCGCACGCCTTTAATCCCAGCACTTGGGAGGCAGAGTCAGGTGGATCTCTGTGAGTTTGAGGCCAGCCTGGGCTACAGAGTGAGTCCAGGACAAGTTCCAGAATAGCCAGAGCTAAACAGGGAGTTGGGAAGGGAATTCAAGTGAAATTGGCCATTGGAATGTATTTTATTACTTAAGTCAAATATCTAAGCCAGGCATGGTGGTGCACGCCTTTAATCCCAGCACTCGGGAGACAGAGGCAGGCGGATCTCTGTGAGTTCAAGGCCAGCCTGGTCTACAGAGTGAGTCCAGGAAAGCCAGGGCTACACAGAGAGACCCTGAAGAAGAAGAAGAAAGCTATATGGATAACTGGCTTCCGGATTGGATGGCGCAGGCTTGGCCACTGTACTTCAGCGTCCTGTATGTAAAAGGAAAAGGATGCTGCAACTCAGTTTTGTAGAAGGGGAGCGTCATGGCCAGTGTCAGGCCCCATGTGAGAAATATGGCAGGTTTGAGGAAATGCTAGGGTCAGGGGCTGGACCATGAGTACAGGCCGGGAAGGAGGCCAAGGCCAGATCGTGGAGGACCTGGGGTACTGGGGTTGGGTGGACAGCTGCTCTTGAAGACACAGTCTTGGCTGGTGGGGCCCTTGGTCAGCAGGGAGGTAAGGAGGTGACTGGGGGAAGTTTCAGGCCCTCAGAGCCATATATTTGTTGCTGCTGTCCATGACTGCCTTCCTGTTGTTGGGACCGTGCTTCATTTGATTTTGTGTATGGTCTTGCTCTCTTGCTCTGAAGGGCCTTGAACTCTGACACACCCGAGATTTTCTTGCCTATCCAAGCATGGTGGCTCTCTATAATCCCTGCCCTTGGGAGTCTGAGGCAGGATTACCACAAGTTGGAGGCTGACTTGTCTACGTAGAGAGTTCCAGGCCGCTGGGCCCAGCTAACCTTCTTGTTACATAGCATCCGTGGGTGTGGGTAGCTCACCTGCTCACATTCCTGCTGCTGAGAGCAGCACATGGCTTCGTTTATCAGGTCACATTCTTAGGAGATCATCTGATTGGTCCCAGTCATCCTTTGGTACCAGGATGGGAACTCGTGATTGTCCTCCCCATTGACAGTTGGAGTCAGATCTCCTGCAGTGAGTGAGCTGACTTCCTCGGTATGGGGCCCACGAGATGGGCCGCTTCCTAGTCAATCATTGAGCATCTGGCTATACGATTGACAGGAAGAGCGCCTGGAAGTACAAGCCTTAAAGATAGACTGGGGTGGATGCAAGAATGTGATATCTGGGTTCATCCTGAAGACTGAAGATAGGGAGTTGTGGAGATGGTTCAGCTGCTCTTGGAGAGGACCTGGGTTCAGTTCCCCAACACCCACATTGTATTCCTCACAACCATGGATTCTGCCCCCAGAGGAGGATGTCTTCCCCTCTTCTGTCCTCCACGGGCACACGCACCCACAGACAGACTTGTAGTAATAAAAGTCATTAATGAAGGATAGGAAGGGTGCTTTGGAGGAAGACCAAACGCCCAGTTGGGAAAAGAGCAGAGAGGCAGATCTGGAGAGGCTTGGTGCCTGGTGAGGTGCCTGGTGAGGCGCCCCAGCAGGACTCCATGGAGGTCTCTTCCGAACCGGAACAGTGAGGTTTTTGTTCACACTGGTTGGGCATGAGAGTCTGTGATGTGGCTGCAAACTTTTGAGAGGTCTGATTCCTCCTGTAGGGCAGGGTGTGGGGTAAGGGAGAGGACTCGAAGCATTGTTTCCCTGCCGGGCTGAACGGCTGTGTATTTTGGAGCTGAGCAGAATGTGGTCTGAGATAGACTTTTGGGGGCCCCTGACCCAGCCTGTGACGTCACAGCAGGAGGGCTGGGAGCCACGTGGTCACAGAAAGGACGGGGTGCAGGGTGCCTGCGTCCTTGCTTTACCTCTGTATGCCACTTTCACCCTCTCTCTGCTTTTCATTCAGCAAGTTGTTAGAACCCCTTCTTTACAAGTACGTGACCATTCAAGAATTATAAAAAAGGAGGGTGTGGGAATAAATCCCACCAGGCTGTCACCACGTAGTCATCACTTGGCATGCAATACCCATACTGTGCTGGTACTCAAAGCAGACATTACCAATAGATCCCAGGTCCTGCTACTTCTGAGTACAAAATTAAAAGGCAGACATGACTAATTGATTGCAGTTATCATCTGAATTCTTCCTGATCACTTGATCTGTAGTCTTTGAAGGCAATAACCACATCTCTGCCTTCTGGTGTCACCCAGGACATACACTCTTTTCAAGTACCCATTTAGACATCACCTCTTCAGGAAGCACTTTTGTGTCTCAGTCTGTAAGCCAGGCTGGCCTCACCGTCAAAGCAGTCACACTCCCAAACTGCTGGAATTGCAGGCCTGCAGCACCACGCCTGGCTTCTTTGGGCCGTTGAGTGTTTGTGCCTGTGTTTTACCTCCTCTGTGGTCCCCTTCATGTGTGAAGGTCATGTGTGAAGGTCAGTTGCCGGGGTAGTCTGTGCAATGGGACCCTGGTGCTGCAGCCCTGGGAGTGGAGGATGTCAGAGGTCAGGAGGGAGAGCCTGCCTGTCTGTCTGTCCCTGCTGTCCTTCATCTGGCAGGTTGATGACATGTCTCATACCTGACACCCAGGGCTGGAAGCCAGGGAAGAAAACGTGCTAGGAAAGTGCCCTGTTGCTGAGCCACACCCCATCCCCTCACAGGGGATTCTAGGCCGGCGTCCACCATTCAACTCTTTACTTCCTGAGCGAGTGTCTTACTGTGTGTCCTTGCCTGGCTTTGATCTCTCAGTCCTCCTGCCTCAGCCTCCTAAGTAGCAGGGATGATTGGCCCACGCCATCACACCCATTCTGTGTATTTGTGTATTTGTGTGTCTTGCTCCTGTGTTTGGAATGCCTCCTGAAGGGCCCTGTGGTTATCACTGTCTCCTCAGATTGCTGTACTAAGTTGCAGGAGCCTGGGTGGCTTATGGACAAATGTCTTACAGCTCTGGGAGTTCAAGGTCAGCCTGCGGCAGATTTGGTTTCTGGTAGAAGCTTCTTCCTGGTTCTGGATGGCACCTTCGGGCTATACCCCCAAAAGAAGGGGCCAGGCTAATTGTTTTTTGCCTCTTTAAAGATTTGTTTTATTTTATTTTTATTTACATGTATGTCTTTGTAAGTGTATGTGTGTGGGCCCTCGGAAGGCCGGCTGAAACTGCAGGCATTTTTGACCCACCTGAAGTGTGCTGGAAACTGAACGTGGGTCCTCTAGAAGAATGGTACGCTCTCTTAACCAGTGAGCCATCTCTCCAGCCCCAACTTTTACCTCTTAACCTAGTTCCATAGATTTTCTCTTCACATTATCACAAGTTATTGCTTTGTTTGTCTTTTAGCATTGTGTTCAGAAGTAGTGAGATCTGGGGTCAATTAGTGATGTCTGCTGTGAGTACCAGTCCCAATATTGAGGCCTGCATGCTAGATAACGGCTGTCTATTCTTAGATTGTACAGTTTGCTTACACAGACACATAAGTGTAGAGAAGGTGTTCTAACAGTCTGCTGAATAGGAGGCACAGAGAGGGTCTTGACTAAAGTCACACGTGGAGACGAGGCAGGGATGCTGGTGTAGGAGATGACCATGGCTGTGAGTCTCTGCTGCTGTGTTCCTGGGTCTAGCAAGTATTCATGTATCACTGATGGTGGGAACGTGTTCAGAGCTTACTGTACTTGAATATCAGTAAGTTAAAACACTGTGGTGTAAGCAAAAGAAGCCTGCCTACTCAAGCGTTCGGAGGTGGCTGGGCCAGATGTGCAGCCTGCCATCCCAGATCCAGGGGAGGCTGAGCCATGAGGATGGTAATTCAGTGAGGCTGTCTTAGATCCTGGGGGTGTTGCCCTCATCCGTGGGGGCCTAGGGGGTCAGCAGTGCCTCAGCACACGCGGGACTCTGCGTTCAGGCCTGACACTGGAAAAAAGGAACACTTTAACGAGACACTAGGAAAACATGGGGAATCGGGCCTCATCTTGGGGTTAGGGCATTACGAGACCATCAAGAGGGCAATGCTTGTAGGTGGGTCTTCATTTTGGGGGGTTTTTTGTTTGTTTGTTTGTTTGTTTTTGTGACAGCCTTGCAATGTAGCCTAGGCCAGCTTACACTTGTGACAATCCTCCTGCCTCAGTTTCTTGTGCTGTGAGCTACCGAGCCTCTCCAGCTTTGCGTTTTTCTCTGTGGGGACAGGCCAGCAGGGCAAGGATGAGGGTAACCTTGTAGGCCTCCCTGTTTTCCTCCTCAGCTGGCACTCCAGACCGGCCGTGAGCCTCCGCCCATCTGGCGCGTCCAGAAGGCTCTCCTGCAGAAGTTCACGCCAGAGATCAAGGACGGCCAGAGGCAGTTTTGTGCCACCAGTAATGTAAGCCGTGGGGTTGTGGTGCAGACTCTGGGGGAGTGCTCAGTACTGGGGTCCCTCTCTGGCATGGCCCAGGCAGGGTGGAGACCTCCTTTTCCGGAGGTGGGTTTTTACCGGTAAAGCATGCTGGCTCTCACAGGCTTTGGTCCCTCCACAGTATTTGGGTTATTTTGGGGATGCGAAAAACCGGTACCAGCGCCTCTATGTGAAGTTCTTGGAGAATGTCAACAAGAAGGATTATGTGAGGGTGTGCGCTCGGAAACCCTGGCACCGGCCCCCATTGCCAGTCAGGTACCAACAGTGACAGGGTCCCTGAGAGGGAAGGGTGAGGCTGGTTCCACATACAGGAGGTGGAGCTTTTCAGGGAGGGAGCTAGAGCCAGGAGACAAGCTGGGAGAAGGAGAAAGAGACCCACAGTGGGAGGTGGCAGACCCAGAGAAGCAGGCAGCAGAGACTCAGAGAGATAACCCAGAGAGGGGATGGCTGCGACCCAGAGTGAGGGGCACTGAGAGACCCAGACCCAGAGAGAGGAAGGAGAGGCTTAGGGAGGCGGGAGAGCAGAGGTTTCCCACCTACGCATGAAGAAAGCATGCACAACATTTGTGAGCGTTATGGGATATATCTCAGGGTCCCAGGGGGTGAGAGCGAGAATCTTCAACCTGCTGATAACAGTCTCGTCTGTCCTTTCCCAGACGGTCTGGGCAGACCAAGGGCCCTGCCCCTGTGGGGGGCAGCTCTGCACCTCCATCTAAGGCCCCAGCTCCACCTCCTAAGCCCGAGACCCCTGAGAAGGTCACATCATCGGAGAAGCCTCCAGAAGTGACGCCGGAGCCCGCCGTACCGGAGCCTCCTGCCCCAGAGAAGCCCTCCCCACCCCGACCTGTGGAGAAGGAGAGGGTGACTCGTGGAGGTGACCGACCTTTACGGAGCGAACGGGCCGCCAGTGCGCGGCAGATGAGGAATGACCGGAGCCTGGCCACGGGACAGTCCACCACCTCCCGGCTGCCCAAAACCAGGCCCACGAAGGTGAAGGCCGAGCCACCTCCGAAGAAGAGGAAGAAGTGGCTGAAAGAGGCAGTGGGAAATGCCTCAGCAGGTGGCAGGCCCGGGGGCAGCTCCTCAGACTCAGAGTCCTCCCCTGGTGCTCCCAGTGAGGATGGTAAGTTCCAGGGGCTGAAGGCGGAGGGGTCACTAGGGAGGGAACACTGGCCTTCAGGAGGGGCAGGGTGAGTGTCAGCCTGAGGGCTGCAGACAGCCTCCACAAGATGGGGACCAAGGGAGCTCCTCCCCAGCAATGGAGGAAGCTAACAGTTAACAGTCACAGTCACTTTCCTATATAATGATGTGTCTGTCTGCTAAAACCCTGGTACATAATTGCTTTATTTTCAGGACAGCCCTAAGAGGTAGCTGCTGTAACTCCATCTAGAAGATAGACCAGCCATCCGGGGCTACATAAGAACACTGTATCAAAAAAATGAAGAATAGCTGGGCGGTGGTGGCACACGCCTTTAATCCCAGCACTGGGGAGGCAGGGGCAGTTAGTCTCTGAGTTCAAGGACAGCCTGGTCTATAGAGTGAGTTCCAGGGCTACACAGAAATCCTGTCCTGGGAAACCAAACAAAACCCAACAAGACATTTCCAAAATAAAAATAAGGGTGAGATGTAACTCGGTGTTTGAATCTTCTGTATTGCAGAGTAAATAAATTAGTTACAGAGTATATAAATAAACAAATAAAACACCGTGTACAGATGAGGGAACAGGCACCAGGAGGAACACCTGTCTTGGGTGCTCACCGAGTCCAGCAAAGCCGGCAGCACTGGTTATGTTGAGTGATGGGTGGCTTGCGTTCATCACAGGTCGTTAGGCCTGGGACACATGTGGGACCAGCCTCTGTCCTGGAGCCCAGAGACAGTGGTGTTTCTTCTGACCCCCTGGGTGACCCTGAGAAAGGCATGACCTCACCTGTAGAATTGAACATATACACCACATCCATTTGCAAAGATTCCAGGCATTTGTTTGTTTATTTATTTTTATTTATTTATTGCTTGCATATATGTCTGTGTACCTGTAGGCAGATTTTTTCTGTCCCACCAGCCAGCTCCCAAATCACGACATGGAGACTCATTATGAAATCTTGGCCAACAGCTTAGGCTTGTTTTTAACTAGTTCTTATAATTTAAATTAACCCATATCTTTTGATCTATGGTCTATCTACCACGTGGCTTTTACCTCTATCCCATTTTGTGTGTTGGATTTGTTCCGACTCTAGCTGGCTACCGTGGCGTCTCTGCCCTTCTTCTTCCCAGCATTCTCTCTGCTCTGAATCTGCCCTGAAAATCCTGCATAGCTATTAGCCATTTTATTTAGCTTTTTTAAGCCAGTAACCTTGGCTCATCTTCACAGTGTACAAAAAGGTAATCCACAGCGTGCACCATGTGTAGACCTGGTGCAGCGGAGGCCAGAAGAAGGTGGTGGGTGCTGGAGCGGCCATGTGGGTGCTGGGTCCTCTTGAGCAGTTGGTGCTCTTAACCACTGAGCCAAATCTCCAGCCGCAGTATAGATTTTTGTTCATTTGTTTTTTGTTTTGTTGTTGTTGTTATTTTGTTTTTACAAGACAGGGTTTCTCTGTGTAGCCCTGACTGTCCTGGATCTCGCTCTGTAGACCAGGCTGGCCTCAAACTCACAGAGATCCTCCTGCCTCTGCCTCCTGAGTGCTGGGGTTAAAGGCGTGCACCATTGCCCGGCTCCAGAGTAAATTTTTAACTTAGTCTGTGTTCACCTATGAAAGCAGTTGGTCAGTGTGGTCCTTTCCCTCACGGCTTTTTCATCTTTCTTTTTTCTTTTCTTTTCTTTTCCTCCTCTTTCTTCTCTTCCCTCTCTTTTCTCTGTGTTTATGATGATGATGATGATCTTATGTAGCCCAGGATGCCATGGAACTTGCTATGTACTTGAGGGTGGCCCTTGACTCTTGGATCCTCCTGCCTCCACCTCTGGCGTGACAGTGCTGGCGTTACAGGCGTCCATCATCATGCCCATTTGTTTGGTGCTGGGAATGGGACGTCGGGATTTGTGTATGCTGGACGAGCACTCTGCCAGCTCAGCTACAGCCTCAGCCCTGTCTCTGCGCTTTGTTCGGTTATGTTTGTTTCAGTGGAGTCTTACTCTGGAGCCCAGGCTGGCCTTGAACTCAGATCCACCTGCCTCTGCCTCCCGAGTGGGAATGAAAGTGTGCCCACCACTCGCAGCTGATCTGTCTTGATTCAGTGTTTTCGTAACCAATTTCAAAGGAGCCACACTGAATTAGGCCCAGTTTACTGGCCCCAAATGGCAGTTCTTGTCACTCCATGTTCTTGTGACCTTGAATGTGTCATTGCAACTGAAGAGGCCAAGCCTCTTTTTCCTGACCTCAGTCAGCAGGGCTTGCCTGTACCCTTTTAGCAAGAGTCTGCCATTGAAAGTCGTGTGTGTGTGTGTGTGTGTGTGTGTGTGTGTGTGTGTGTGTGTGTGTCACAGTAGCCTAGGGATAAGTCTGTGTCCCATCTCTCCTCAGAGCGGGTAGTTCCGGGACGGTTGCTGAAGACCCGGGCCATGCGGGAGATGTACCGCAGCTATGTGGAGATGCTGGTGAGCACTGCCCTGGACCCGGACATGATCCAGGCCCTGGAAGACACGCATGGTGAGCTGGGCCAGGGACGAAGGCTGGGCCTCTGAGGAGGGTCGAGTGGTGGGTGGGTGCTGGCTTCCTGGGCCTGAAGAATGGGCCTGGGGAAAGGCTAGGGCCTGGGGAGGAGGGATAGCCTGTGGTTAGGTCCGGGGTTGAGCACTGGACACTTAGTCCTTGGAGAGGAAAGCTGGGGCCTGGGGAGGAGCACTAAGCCTGGACTCAGTGGTCCCAGGGAGAAGGGGGTTTGGGGACCCCAGCCTCTTTCCTCCTGTGCACGGGAACTGCTGTCTTCTGACACCTCTGCTCTTGCAGATGAACTCTACCTTCCACCCATGCGGAAGATCGATGGCCTCCTCAATGAGCACAAGAAAAAGGTCCTGAAGCGGCTGTCACTGAGCCCGGCGCTGCAGGTGCTTGGGGGCCTGAGTGGGGGTGGCATTGGGCCCAGATCGGGTGTGGAGACTGGAGTGAGGGGTGCCAGCCACTTGAAGTTCCTTAAGTCCTTCCCTAGAGGAGGGTCATTGCAAGGGCCTGCTGTCCTGGGCTCGGTTGGGAGATGAAAGCTAAGCTGGAGAGGCCTTGGCTTCCCAGCAGGCCCAGAGCGAATGTTCATAGAGCAGAGGCCAGGCCTGATGCTTTTGTTGGGCCACCCCATAACCTGGCTCCTGTCCATATGGGACAAGACTCTCAAATCCCAGGGCTCAGTCCTCCTGCCTGCCATTTCCCTCTGGAATGGCCCGCTTTGCTGGATGGAACCTCCCAGGGCCACCTTGAGAATCCTGAGGTACAGTGCTGACGTGGCACCCAGGATTCTAGTCCTGATATCATGGGGCTGGGGTGTGGCTCAGTTCGTAGTGTGCCTTGGGTCCATCCACAGGACTGCCTTACCCAGACATGGTGGTCCATGCCTGACACCCTTCACGCTGTAAACGTGGGAGGCTGGTCGCGCTTCTGGAGAAGTTAGTCCTATTTGGAGTGTTTGGGGTGGCTTTTAGATTGTCACTGAGAATTAAATCTGGGATAGAATAATAAGTTGTCTTGGAGATGCTTGGCAGCATGTTAGTCTGACTTGGAAAAGGTAGGATAAAAATTTTCATCTGATTCTAAGGATTCTGTTTGATACATTTCTTTTGTTTTTTGGTTTGGTTTGGTTTGTTTGAGACAGGGTCTTTCTAGGTAGCCTTGGCTATCTTGGAACTCTGTTTGTAGACCAGGCTGGTCTCTTGAACTCAGAGATCAGCCTGCACATACTTGTCATCCCAGCTATGTGGTAGGCTGAGGCAGGAGAATCAAAACTCAAAGCCATCTTGGGCAACTTAATGAGGCTGTGTTACAAGATAAAAAGTAACTGTGTGGTACCATGCTCCTGTAATCCCAGTACTTGGAAGGAAGAGGCAGGTGAATCTCTGTGGGTTCAAGGCCAGCCAAGGCTACATAATGAGATCCTATCTTTAAGAGAGAGAGAGAGAGAGGGAGGGAGGGAGGGAGGGAGGGAGAGAGAGAGAGAGAGAGAGAGAGAGAGAGAGAGAGAGAGAGAGAG